CCCTCCTTCTCTGCACTGAAAGTAAGAAATGAGGTAGGTTCTCGGTTACAGGAAACGATGACAACTGATAAGAGAAGATAAGGGTATAAGACGAGCCACCCACCGATCAAAATTCTATCCCTGCGGTATTTACGATGTAGCTTTAGCTGTTCAGTATGTTTCATTCGCCAAGACGAGATGGTGGAGTAGGGGGGCAAAAGTGAGTGGTCAGTGCACTGATAGGGACAAAGGGGGGACTAAGCCTACCCAGCAAGGTTTGTGACTCAATGAATGGTCCCCTTTGTTCCATATCATTTGCGACAAAACGTAATCGACCTCCAGTAATTTGGAATACTGAAATAATGATGTCTCTGTAAAGATAAAGTTTCAATAAAGAGATCTAAGGTGGTGTTATCATCACTCAAATTATCTGTGTGCACCGCCCAAAGCTTTGGTTACCTAACAAATAAAGCTTTATTTGGTATTTGCTTCTAAGAAAGAGAGCGTAAGATCGAGACTACCAATCGAAATCTTAAGCACCGACTTACACCGAAAACCATTTGCCCTGCTCTGTTAGTCCTGAGTCAGATTTCATGTACAGGGAAATATAACTTGCTACAAAAAAGGAGGAGAAAGTTAGCCGACTACCACAACATTGCCGAAGAAGGACTGGAGCCCGGCGTTAGTCGGGCGAACTGACTGGTGGTATATAACCCTTTAAGGCGATGGCAAGCGGGGCCTTGGTAGTGTGAGGGATATAAAGAACGCTGTCCGAACAGCACTTGTCTGGTTTCGAGTCTCTTTCGAAGACGAATTTTCGCTCATACATCACCAATGTTGTGAAGAAACTAAGGTTTGTTAGATTCCGCAGAAATAGCCGAAGAGGTGCAATGCGGAGTTCAGCGTCAGGCCAGGTTGTCAGGCCGGCTGATGGAGAAACCCAGTCACAACAAACATGTCTAAACTCTCAAAAGGTATCAGTGATAAAGCTAGGACGTCACCCGGAAGTGGCGCACAGGATCCCCGCCCGAGTTCTGTGGACAGTATGCGAGGGCTACCGAGGAGTGAACGACCTCGGTCAAAGGAGTTAGATCGA